ATCCAGTCTATCTATCGCTTGCTGCGCTGCTATCACACGCTGCAGCAGCTGCCGCCGCGGCTCGGTTAGCGGCAGCGCCTCCACCGACAGCAGATGCCAGGGAGAGAGGTCGCTAGGCAGCAGCTCAGCAGCAACAGAAACTCCTGCTGCTTCGGGGTGTACAAGCAGCAACCTATCCATCCAGTCTACCTGCTGCTGCTGCTGCTGTTGCTGCTGCTTCTGCTGCTGCTGCTGCTGCAGGTAGGCTGCTTCAGGCACAGCTGGCTTGTCTGCTGCAGCAACCATGCGTGCATAAGGATGCGAGCTCTGTATGTACAGCTGCCCCACGCTCCTTACGAGCTCCAGGGGGTGGCCGGGGGGCAGCCGGCTGGGGACCACCAGGCACTCCATACCTGACTTGAGCCCGCTGCTGCTGCTGCTGCTGCTGCTGCTGCTGCTGCTGCTGCTGCTGCTGCTGATGCTGCTGCTGCTGATGTTGCTGCCATTGGATAATCCCAGTTCGTGGGACTGGGGCTCGCTCTCTGAGACCAGAGGCGAAGAAACTGCTGCTGCTGCTGCTGCTGCTGCTGCTGCTGCTGCTGCCGGGTCCTGCTGCAGATACAGCTGGGCATCAAGCATCTGCTGCTGCTGCTGCTGCTGCTGCAGGTGCTGCTCCACCTGCTGCTCTAAGTGGTGCTGCAGCTGCAGCGGGTTGCCGCTGAAGCAGCACTGCGAGAAAGCCATAGCCTTCTGCTGCAGCTGTCTTACATCTCTCCCCAGCAGCAGCAGCACGCGGTGTAGCGGTGCTTTTGCTGCTAGCCAGCAGTTATCTGCCCCGAACGGGTTCAACGCTGCTGCTGCTGCTGCTGTTGCTGCTGCTGCTGCTGGTGCTGGTGCTATATGCATGTGCTGCTGCACCCCAGCCACACCATACAGCCGCAGCAGCAGCTCACACACAAACGAACACATGCGCGCCACGCAGTACCCATCCAGGTGTATATCCAGGTCAGCCCTTGGCTTACACCACCGCAGCTCAACAAGCTGCACCATAGCCGCAAGAATTTCATCCTCGACGCTGTATGTATCTGTCTCTGTTTCCTCCATTGCTGCNTGCTGCTGCTGATGGAGAGGGGCGCGGCTGCTGCTGCAGCGTGTTCTCCCCCAAAGCAGCAAAAAATAACACAGCTATCACCTGAGCAGCAAACACCAGGGGCCCCGGTACCCACAGCGAGAAGGAGCTGCGCAGCATAGTATCGAACCAGAAGGGGCCCCCGGGGCCCCCCCCCAGCCGCCCCCTTAATATTTTTTCGTGTAGAAGGGTATCTATGGGGCTGATGAGGTCTGCTGCATGCCAAAGACACAGACAAGCAACACGGCGACGCAGGTCCACTGGAGATACACAAGACAGGGGGCGCGAAGGGCTGCACCACCCTGCTGCTGCTGCTGCTGCTGCAGATGCTGCTGCTTCTGCTGCGCTGCTGCTGCTGCTGCTGCTGCTGCAACCTGACGCAGAGCCGTCCGTTCGTAGCCACGGTGCATTCTGAACAGCACACAACATGCACAGCAGCAGCAGCAGCAATTCATGCAGCAGCAGCAGCAGCAGCAATATACACAGCAGCAGCAGCAGCAATACACACAGCAGCAGCAGCAGCAGGGATTCACGGAGCAACAGCAGCAGCAATTCACGGAGCAACAGCAGCAGCAATTCACGCAACAACAACAGCAGCAATTCATGCAGCAGCAGCAACAACAATTCCCGCAACAGCAGCAGCAACAACAGCAGCAGCAGCAGCAGCAGCAGCAAAGTACCTCGACGAAGCTCCTAGCAACAGCAAGAGCAGCAGCCTGCAGCGGCAAGGGGGAGACAGCAGCCATGGCGTCTGCTGCGCCCAGCACCCCGAGGAGGAGGGCGGGGTCATATGCAGCAGCAGGAACGAGAGCCAGACTGCTGGTGCTGCTGCAGCTGTTGGAATCTGCTGCAGCAGCAGCAGCTGCTGCTGCTTCAGCACCAAGAGCTGCAGCAACAGCAGGTGAACTGCTAGCAGCAGCAACTACCTCTGGGTGCTGCGCCAGGTCCTCAACAAGCCACTGCAGCAGCGCGACACTGAGTACAGGGGAGAAGGAGTGAGCCAATGCATCATACACCCCCTGCTCCTGCTGCTGCTGCTGCTGCTGCTGCTGCTG